CCTTTTGGTCCCAAAGATCACTCATACTCTAGATGAAACAAGGAGATAAAAACACAAAGTTCTTCCAACAACGAGCTAATTTTTGGAAGTAAAAAAACCGAATAAAGGGCCTAAATGATTCAAATAGGACTTGGGTATCGAATGATCACTGCATGGAGAAAGTAGTTCTGAATTATTTTAAGGACCAAGACCACCATTAACATTTTCCAATATGGGAAGTTGCTTAAACAGATAAACTACACTCATGTCTCTCTGATACCAAACCGATAAGCCTCTACAATGTGATTTTCAAAATCACCTTTAAGGTTGTGGCCAATCGGTTGAAACAGATCCTCACCCAAATCATATCCCTCACCTAGACAACTTTTGTCCCGGGCCACCATATCTCGGACAATACACTTTTTACGGCAGAGATTGCCACCCGGTTGTCCAAGCCCTGAAGACAAAATAAGGGCTTTTTATCCCTAAAGCTCGATATAAGTAAGGCTTATGATCGCATCGAATGGCAATACCTTAGGAGTGTTCTTACCACTATGGAATTCTCGCAGAAATGGGTGAACTTGGTGATGCAGTTTATCTCTACGATCTCCTACTCTTTTGTTATGAATGGTCGGCTAATGGGTTACATCCACCCTACCTGGGGACTTAGGCAAGGAGACCCCTTGTCTCCCTATCTTTTTCTTCTCTACGCCGAGGGCCTATCCGGCCTCATTACCAAACGAAAGTGAGAAAGGAAACTCCAAAGGATCTCTATTTGCGCCAATGCTCTGACCATAAATCACCTAATGTTTGCTAATGATAACCTATTCTTTTGTTGTGTAACCGAAGCTAAATGCCACAATATTTCTGAACTCCTCCTCACTTATGAATTGGCTTTGGGACAATAAGTGAACCTTGCTAAAAGTAAAGTATGTTTTAGCAAAAATGTTAAAAGGGATATGCAATCAAAACTTGCCAACGCTCAAGAGGTGCAAAGAGTAAAGAGACATGAACGTTATCTGAGAATGCCTACATTAGTGGGAAGGAATAAAAGTGCTTGCTTAGCCTATATCAAGGAACGACTCTGGAAACATTTACAAAGTTAGAAGGGGAAACTTGTAACTGCGGTGGGGAAAGAGATTCATGTCAAGCCAGTGGCTCAAGCCATTCCTAAATACATGATGAATTGCTTCCTTTTACCAAAATACTTATGTGCCAGCTTGAATCGGTTGGTACCCTTTTTTTGGTGGAAAGATTATGAGGGTGGGAAATGGATCCATTGGTACTCTTGGGATAAAATGTGCCTTCTCAAATCTGAGGGGTGATTGGGTTTTAGGAACCTTTATGCCTTCAATCTCAGCTTACTTGCTAAACAAGGATGGAGTTCCACTCCGATTCTCAATCGATGGTGGCTCGAGTGTTCAAAGTGAAGTACTTTCCAAACTCAAGTCTCTTAAACGCTATGGTATTCCCGAACTCTTCTTATTGCTCCAACAGTGTATGCACTACCAGGAAGGTTCTTAACTTGAGCATAAGATGGCAAGTGGGGTGTGGCGAATCGATCAACATTTGGGAGGATCCTTGGGTCCCTCTCCCGTCCACCTTTCGCATTTCTCCCCAAAGCCCACTGATTGTATCCTCCATAATGTCTGTTAACTCACTCACTCTTCGCGAACATGGAACCTAGACCTGGTGGGGTCTCTTTTTACCGATACGAAATTGGAAGTGATCCATGCCATACCCTTAAGCCTCCGCCGCTCTTTTAATCATTTAATATGGCAATTTGAGAAAAATGGTAAATTCTCAATGAGAAGTGCGTATCATACCACACGTGCATGGTTGGTCCCGATAAATAATGGGGCCTCTTCCTCTGCATCTTCGGGGCTCACTTCCAAATTATGGGCTAAGTTTTGGCAGGCAAACATTCCCCCCAAGGTGAGGATTTGTTTTTGGCGACTCTATAATAACATAATTCCTGCAAAGGAAAATCTGGGGAAACGCCATATCCTTACAAATTTCGCATGTGTGCAGTGCAACTATCAGACGTAATCTACTCTCCATTTCTTAAAAGACTATCCTTATGCTTAATGTGCATGGATTTCTTCACACTTAGGGATAGCATTACGGGGTTTCTCCCCCGCTACATTTCTTGAATGGACTATAGAAATCGCTAGTTCTCTCTAATCCTCTCATTTCGATTCAGCCATGATGATTTGCTAGGCAATATGGGGAGCTCGGAATGGGAAGCTTTGGAATGGCGATGGGGAATGTCATGATATGGTGGTTGCTCGGGCTCTTCATTGGTGGTAGAATTTTGTTACTGCCAATGCCAACACAAACCACATAAACCCTTCCCGACATCCCACTTTGAAATGGACAGTTCCGCCCTCGGGATGCCTCAAACTAAATATTGATGGGGCCTAGAATGGTGAGAGTAAAGTGGGGGGTTTCGGCCTGATCATTAAAGATGAAACTGGTAGTTTTATGGCAACTTCATGTGGAAAGTCTTCAAATATCTTCACTCCATTACAAGCGAAAGCGGTGGCAGTCTAGACTGGTTTGATTTAGGCAATGAACAGAGGGTTTACAAATTTAATTTGTGAGAGCGATTCTCTTCAGATTGTGGAAGCTTTACGTGATCCTTCTACTATCCTACATTGGTCAAGTGGTGGAAGACATCAAGGTTTTAGCCCCCTCAGTCATTGAAGTGCCTTTTTCGCCGTCAAGCCAACACGGCGGCTCATAGACTTGCCCGCTTTGGATTATCGGTGGAACACACTTTCGATTGGATGACCTATCCTCCTAGTATTTTAATTGATGTACTTTTGGAGGATTGTGCCTCATCCTGTTGAACTTTATATGCTTGTTTCACTGTATTTTGATATGATTAATGAGATCTACTATCGTTTTCTTCAAAAAAAAAAAAAAAAATATTCCTCTATTTAGAGTTGGATTCCAAAATTTGCGTGGGTCCCACCAAATCTTTTATTCTGCAATGTTTGCTAAACACCAAAATATTCTATAGTCGGAATTCTATTTCTCTTTTTTATTCTGATTATCCTTACGAAACATGTCATTCGTGTTTTGGACCTAATTGGGGATCTGGATTGCTACCCCACTACCCATTGCTCTATCAACATGCCAAAATATTTGGGCAAAGTGTTCTACAACTTTTGTCGTAGTAAGGATGTTTCACACATCCATTGGTCATCCACATCCCTTTGTTAATGTACTTTTAGTACTCTTCCTCCATGTGTGGTTGCTGATGGTACGAATCTAGATGGCTCGATCTGTTGCGGCACTCTAAAATCTGACTTTTGCTTCAGGTGTGCTTGTTTTTGTGGGGTTATTTTGGTTTTGCTTGGCTCTCAATGGACCCACCTTCGATTGGTTCCTACATGAACTACTCCGGTGGTTGCTGGCGAGAGACATCCAGCGGCGGGCTGCTTCTTCTTGATTTCCTCTGGTGTTGTTTGTTTATTGTTTGTGCCTCTCTCTGAGTGGGCTACGCTACTGCTTTTGTTGGAGTCGGCTAGGCTGCTGTTTTTGTTTTTAATATGGCCTATGTTTTTCTTAAATGTTGGGTTTATAACTATTTAGATGGGCTAATATTTAAGGATTAATATATATATATATATATATATATATATCTATTTTGGTTGAAAATATCCCTCTTCTTTTCATTAATGTTATCAGTACAAGCATTCTTAATAGAGAGTTTTAACGAAGCATTCCCAGTATTATTTATTTTTAACGAAAAATCATATTTTTTACCTTTTTCTGGTACTATTCACTACACCTTTATTTATCATTTTTTATTAAAACTACAATTTTTTTGAACTTTTCGTTAATTTTCCTTTCTTATTAATAATCAAATATGTTGAGTGAGAGGTGTCATTAGTACAGAGCATTCTTTTTCATTTGCTCATAAACCTCCATTCATTCAGTTCTAAGGAAATGTTAGCAAGTATACTTGGCTAGCGAGCAATGAGTATGTTCTAGACTCATCAACTTTTAGAAATGACAACGATTACGAGCTGAGCTAATATAGCAAGTTTCTAGTAGACTGAAACACATATCTCGAATGCATGGTTGAATGCTTAAAAAATGTTATAACTTTTATGTGATTTGTAGGGGTGGTTCAGTATGGAATCTCAAATTGAAAATGGCATCCTGAATCCCAAACTTAAAATTTTCGGGACAAGAATTTGAAGACCAATGCTGAACCAAAATTTCGGCATTCCAAATTTTTGGGATTCTCAAAATATTTTCGGTATTTCGGAATAGATCGGAATTGGATTTTCGGTTTTGAGCTTTTGGGTTGAAATTTGATATTTTTGGGCTATGATCTAAAATTTGGGCTTTTGGCCTAAAATTTTGTTCCCCAATTTCATATTAATTGAAATTTAGATTTTTTACCTCATATCAATTGAAAGACGATTTCATTCATAACAAGTCACATTGATGTTCCAAAGTTCCAAACTACTTAATTTCATATTTCTATTTCTAATATAGTCTACTATCAAACTACTTAAATTCAACATTCAATATGCATGCAACCAAAATAAATACATATATATATATATATTTTCGGTTCGGTTCGGGATTCATGGACTATTGAATATGTGATCCCGATTCCAGTACCGAAAGGTTTGGGATAGGTTCAATATGAATCCCAAAAATTTTGGTATTATTGGTTTGAAAATTTTTCGGTATGGGATCGGAATTTTTTTTATTTGATTTGGGATTTTCAGGAAAATTTTTCAGCCCTAATGATTTGTCGTAGAATCTAAATATAACCATTTCACATTATCACTAGTTTCAGTTATTCCAAGTGCCAGATTTTCACATGATCGTAGAACTAAAAATCCAACATAAACCATGAAAGGAAAACACACAACTTTTATATCTAAAGTAGTGTTAGATTGTGAACCCTAAAGTTCAACCATGACACTTTCGGGACTTTTACAGTTTTATATGATCAGCAAACTAATGATTAATGGATGTTAATAGACATATCAAACTCCAATAATATTTCCTATTAGATGTAGAGAAGATGACACCAAGTAAACTTTTACAGATTTTAATTTCTAATGCTGTCCTTCTATATTCCTCTAAGAGCGGCAATTCGAGCTGCCAGTTCATCGTACTCCGGTAGCTTTGGGTGCACGTGCACATCTGGTGTGAAGGAAAATGCTCGGCCATGCTTTTTCGGTGCCTCAATTGGACTCGTTGGCTCTGGTGGGAGAGATGATGCTCTGGCTGACGGAGCCTCTCGCTGAGATCTTCTGCTTCTGTTCCATGTGGATTCACCAGCATCATCATCGTCCAGACTGCCCTTCATCTGGCTCGATTCATAGGGTGACTGTTTCCTGCTGTAATGCATCAAAAGCCCATCCATTATTCTCTCCTCTTCGTCCATTGAATCACTATCATCTCCACGTCTAGTTTTATCATTCCTGCCAAGATTCTCGTGACCTGGTGGTGGTTTCAAGTTTCCCCTCCTTACTGATCTTCGTTTTGTATTATCTTCGCCAACTGAAACATCGCTAGGGTGATCTGTTTCCTTTTCGACGTGGCTGCTTTCCTTTTTTTCAGGTCTTGATTTGTAGTAAGGCGGTGGAATAAACTTGGAGTAGAAGGGCATCTTGCTGGTATCTGCTTCATCCCCGGATGTACTTCCTATTGAGCTTGAAGAATATTTTGGGGCAGATTGGGATACATCTGTTGTTGTTTCGTCTTCACTGCTGCTCTGCAGCTTGTATCTGTCATAAGAGTCACCCTCCTGGTTTCTGCTCTTTGGGAAAGCATTGTCCTGCCTTTTATGTGATTTGTGCATATCGTCATCGCTGTCAACTGGAGATCTACACCTGCGCTGGCCCTGCAAAAGGGGTCATACATGTTACGATCAATGAGAACAGACAATAAGAAGCATTATAATAACACATAACGTGGGAACAAAAAACATGAAGGAGGGAAACGTTTGGCATCTAAGCAGCTTTGCAAGGTACAAAAGTGCCCTCTTCGACATCTTTTCTCAGGGGTTAAATCTCATAAGGCGAGCGAAGATTCTTTATTAGCTTCAGAATATGTACCAGATGGTACAATTTACTTTTGATTTCTTCTAGTATTTTATAGCAATGATGCATAAAGTAGACTTACTTGGTCAGATGCCGGTGGAGTATTAGTATTCAGTTTCTGTTCCAAAGCTTTTGAATCCCATTCAATCGAAAATTCTTGTGCTATGTCGTGCATTAACTGAATCTTCATCTCCTTCGTAGGAGGCTTTGACTTCAACCTCTCCACAAACTGAGCACAAACGAATAACTGGGTCAGACAGACTAGAGACAAACCTATAGAACAAGTATGCATCTTTTGATTATTTGATAACTACGAACTTAAAGAGCAAGTTTTGAATTATCACCTCTTTATTCAGAAAAGGTTCGAGGGAATTTCCATACTTTTCACTAAACAGAGTTCTGAGGTCGCGGAGTTCTGGCAAATCAGCAAATCGTGCTGCTGCGTACATAATTGACCGAACAGCTTCCTTGCATTCCTCTGGGCACTCACTGGAAACAAACAAATAAAAGATAAGGCTAGCAGAAAAGTCTATGAAACTTAATGAGCATATTATTCCGGAAGCCACATATACCTCTGACTTTGTATGAGAGGAAGATGAGTCGAGATGCATCCAAGAAAGCCCTCAGTTGATTCGTAACAGGCAGACATATTTTGCTCAACTAGAAGCCCTTCAGCCTGTTTCACCGATCATGAAGCGTTAAGAGAACTGAACAAGATGTATTAATTGGAGGCTCTGGGAGTGAAGTACTGCCACAAACATATATGTAAAAACCACGGATCATCTGCAACGATGCAGTATGCAAGTAATCTTGATTCAATATAAATGCAAGGCAATCGAAAGTACATGACATTGCGAGCAGGTTTATGTTTGCGTGGCTGGGGATGGAACTACCAATTTTCGGTTTTCGGAGTTGGTTTTGTTAATTTCATGGTTCGGTTTTCGGTAGCCACTTTTCGGTTCGGTTACCAAACCGAAACGAGCCCTAAATTTTCAATTGGCCTGGTAAACAAATCTTTCAAATGAAGGAAAAATTGTTTCATACAAAATGATTCATGAGTAAAAGGAGGGAATAGAAACAAGCCTATTTTTCAGGCCACAGAAAACCATAAAAACAACAAAAATTATAAACAAGATTAACGTCATACTGTTTAATTAATTAATCGAAACAAAAACCAAGAAGAAGATTAATTAAGCAGAAACATACATACCCTGCCGTATGCATTGATGTCACGGCCACTCCTCAAAAGATCAGCTACGTCGCTCTTCAAAAACTTCTGCACCGCGCTCCTCTTCTTCTTTATCGCCTCGATCCGCATCTTCGTCATCTTTATATCCGATTTGCTGCATAAAAAAAGAGCCAGAATTAGAACGAAGAAAAAGAAAAACTCATCAACGAACAGAAATAAAAAAATAATGAAACACGAGTTGGGTTTTTACGTAACGAACCATTTGGTGACGAATTTCGGCTTTCGGAACGCCCTCAGCATCTTGTCCTCTGATGATTATGAAAAAATCACAAAACCTGGGCTAATAAAGAAAGAAAGAACCGAGCTTTTATACAATGCAATGGGATTTCCGAAAATGTAAAAACAAGGTAAAGAATGACTGAGAAATTAAAACATGAGGACTCACCGGTCCACTCCAAGAATCAGATTCAAGAAAACCCAGAAGGAAAGCAAATCGGTATTTTTGGCTTTCGAAGCAAGAAACAGAGAAACAACAATGCCTTCGAATTGGGATCACCACGAAGAACAGAACTCGAAAATCAAGAATTCGGAGCTGTTATACACACATAAAAAAATATATACACTTATATATGTGTGTGTATGTTTTTTTCTGGGAAGAAGCTTGCAGAGGAAGAGAGACGAAAGGTCAATCAAGAAGCTATATATACTTGGCAGATGGAGCTCTGGGAAAATCTAAACGGACGTGGGGTTTTGCGACGTGGCCTCCCGCTAAAAATATAATTTACCCGCTCCTTTTACGAAAGTCGCTACTAGAAAAGCTAAAATTACCGAAACGAAATTTTCTGCACTCATTTTGTATGTTCCCTAACTTAACGGGCTTGCGTGAATTTTTCAGGTATATATCAGCTGGAACAAATCAATTAAAGCTATACATGCATCCCTAATGAAAAAGGTTTAACACCTAATCAAGGAATTAAGGCAGCATAAGATTACTTGCACCTCAAGACTCAAGTTTGCTGGGTTTTCTAGTTTTCTAGTGTAGGAGTGACAAAGTGAAACGTACCCTAAGTTGGATTAGCAGATCCTTTGAACACCATAACCAACTTACTAATCAATGAACGAATAATGGAATAGACTTTAAAGTTGGAACTCATATAAAGAATTATTAACACAAAGATATGAAACTTTGATAACACATGTAATTTGAAGATATGTTTGCATGTATGTAAACATTATGTAACCTACCAAAATATATATAATTTGTCGATATGAAACTTTGAATTCTGAAATTCATGTAACCTACCAAAATATATGGACGAGAAAACTCTCAAAACTCCATGACAATGCTCAACATATGATGTTGTAGGCCTTTATATAGCTAGGCATGCATCAAACATTTTTGACTGGAAAAATCCTAATCAACAAACGAAACCCAAGTCATTAAGAAATATAGTAAAGAAATCATCTTTCCCTTATTGCATGCTTTCTTGGCCAATTTTGAACCGTTTCGATTTCTTAGCCAATTCCCATAAAGTTGGCTAACATTTCTCTCTCCTTTATTTAATTTAACTTTTTATTTTAATACAATTACAAACTATAAATAAAAAAATAACTTAAGTTTTTTTTTTTTTTTTGCCGAAGCCTGAGGTATCAGCCCAGGCACCCTGAAGAGTAAGATTAACTTTTAGTGGAACTTGAAAAAGTTAAGGGCATTTTCAGCCCACCTATGCAAATAGTCAAATAATACATGTTCTTCTAAAATTTTTTACCAAAGAATCCCTCGTGTTTTTATCAGTTTTATTCCTTGATCCCAAGATCAGAAGGCATATATAACTAACTTGAAATTCTATTAAGAAATAAGAAATAAATTAAGTTGGACTATATAAGCTTTGGCCATAGTCATTGGTCTGCGTCCGCTTTAAGCGAGCTGATTTAAGTGTTGAACGTGTCAGTAGCAGCATGTTGCGTAACACAAGCGAAAGCGAGTGAAAAGTGACACAGCCGTGAGCAACGTATGCTTGCTGGCATCATATATCCATTCTTATATGGCATATCGGCAAATTAATATCCCATTCCTGCTTCCTTTTTCTCTGCACTGTCATTCGTATCCTCGTAACGAGTCCCGCTCTCTTCAACTCTATGAAAAATTATAATCACCCACCCACCATTCATTCTTAATGTAAGGGTGAAAGAGAAAGTATAATAATAATAATTAAATAATTATTTGCCGTGAGATTAAAATCGAACAATAGGTGATTATAATTTCTTTTAGCTATAGGATCTTGAAGAACAAGATTGTCGAGTAATACTGTTTACTAGTATTATTAATTTACACATTATAATATTTGTATGTGCTATTGTAATACTTATCATAACCCGTAAATTAATAGCATTGCGTTATGATTTGATCGTTTCATTTGAAATTTTTTTCCTACCACTCATGTTATTATTAATCTGTTAAACGTTTTTCTTTTCTTTAGTTACATTGAAGGAATTAGAACAACAAATTTATTCTAATCTTAATACATCATCACACACTCCTTCACCATTTGGACTAATCTCAAGGGTTTATTTGTTTTTTTTTTTTTTGTACAACAATATATTTAAACTAAAATGTATGGGAATAAGTTGATTTTAAATTCGTAGGGTATTCATGAGTTCGAATATAAGACATTTAACATTTAAATAAAAAGAAATGTCATTAAACTGTTGCATTCAGTGGCATTTGTCAAAATTGTTCTAGTTTCTTCACTTTTACTTGCATATTTCTACAATTCAAATATTATTTCGTTATGAGATAATGTAATAAGTTAGATTATCAAATGAATATAGGACACTTTACCTCAAAATATGTAAATTATCAAGATACTAATATGGAGGATTGATGCCTGAAATGGGTTATTCTTCTCTTCGTAAAGAAACTTGTTTAGAAAAAGAAGCAAAAAAGTGAATCTTTCCGACCAAAAATGAAAAGTTGATAGAAAAGGAAAGCCAGTGGGTTTGTTTGATACTTTAGTCGGAAAAACAAGGAAAATGTGACAACTTTGGTTTTGGGCATGATTTATTGTCAAAAGAATAATGGCAAGGTATAGGATGTCAAAACGATGCCGAAACATTTTGGCAAAACACCTGCTAGCTGGATTCAGTTAACTTACCTCAACCTTGTTTTAAAAATATGTTCGGACACTGTTCTTTAAAAAAGAAATATTTTTGCAGAGCTATAAGACTAAACATGGCCTTTTGACCCTCTTTAAGTTGGAGATGACCTTAGTTGCAGGCTCGAACCACTAACAACAACAAACAAAAAACACATAAACATTTTAATATGACTGAAACCACTTTTGTTGAAAATATTTTTAGAACCAATCTATAGTAAAAAAAAAAAAAAAACACAAGTAAATCTTGAAAAAGCACTTATAATGCTTCCTAGAAGAAGCATCCATTTGGAAAAACGCAAGTGAATCCTTGAAAATCAACTAAAGTGCTTCCTGGAAGAAGTACATAACTGATGTTTATTCCATAAAGCACTTCAAGTGCTTTTGGAACCAAAAATATTTACTTTAAAAGCGTTTTTAGTTATTAAAATTATTTTTAAATGAGCTCTAAATTAATGAATCCATACGGAGCATAATTTGATAATCATTTAGTTTTCATTTTTCAATTTTTGTTTCCACTTTTTTGAAAAGTTCATTAATTACTTTCAGTTTTCAATTTACAAAAATATGAAAATTGTTATGGCTTATTTTATCTGACAGGTAGAGAGATGTGATTGTAGGATTGTGTAGAGGATGTGTTATTCCCCCTACGCAGTGCCTTTATTTATAGTAATAAGGGAGGGAAGAATCATTCTCCTCCAAGGAATACAAGTCCTAATAGGGAAACTAGAATCAAATCTAATGTAGGATTTACACAATCACACTTAAATACAAAGTTTATAACACTCCTCCTTGAGTGTGTAAATACTCAATTTGATTCGGCATCATGTAGAGTTGAGGAAGTCGACTCGTCAGCACTGATTCTAGGAACACGCTAGTCTCAAAGTAAAGTAGAAACATATGGAACTAAGTCTCACAAAAGACCCAATGGCTATGGTAAAACCCGAGTAGGGACAAAATCCATGGTGTAAGGAAAAATGCATGAGTAATGCAAAGTCAAATCAAACGTTTACAGAACGTCATCATGGATATGATCAACCCAAGGTGGGTGCCTCGTCAAAACCTCGTTAGGTAGCAAAAACCTAGTGGGAAAAATGCTCATAATCATATGGAAAAAGAGTACATTAAGATCAAGTAAGTATACTTCAGGATACTCCTCCTAAGTTTGACATAATTTCAAAGAGAACTAACAATGTTACAACTCATAAAGTTTACGCATAACTATTCCTTGAAAAGGCTTTTGAAACGTCGCATTCGGTAGTGATTTGGTGAAGAGGTCAGCGAGATTGTCTTGTGAACAAATTTACGTGACTTCAATCTTCTGATGCTCTTGTTGTTGATGTAAAAAGAATAACTGCGACGCAATGTGCTTGGTGTTGTCTCCTTTGGTGTAACCCTTCTTAAGTTGTTCGATACATGATGCATTATCTTCATAGATCGTATTCGGGACATCAACGACGAGGTAAAAATCACAGGAGCTTCAAATATGGCCCACAACTGCTATCACCAAGAATCATTCCCAAGTTACTTCTTGTAAGGCGAGAATTTCAGCATGGTTAGACAAAGTGGCAATTAAGGTCTGTTTAGTTGACCTCCAAGAAATTGTTGTGCCTCTAACGGTAAAGACATAACCAGTTTAAGTATGCGCCTTGTGTGGATCAGATAAGTATCATGCGTCGACATAACCAATAAGGCGAGAATGGACTCAAGATAAAAGCGGTGCGACATCAACTGAGGATCTATAGGGATAGAACAGGCTCAGATCGGTAGTACCCTTAAGGTAACGGAAGATGTCTTCAATACCAGTCCACTGTCTGCGTGTCGACTCATTACTGTATCTTGCCAAAAGATTAACAGCGAAGAAGATGTCGGGTCTAGTGCATTAAGCTAAGTATAATAAAGCGCCTATCGCACTTGGATAAGGAACTTCAGGCTCCAAAATCTCTTCATCATCCTCCTTCAGACGGAAGGGATCTCGTTTTGCATCTAGCGATCAAATGACCACAAGAGTACTCGAAGGCTTCACTTTATCCTCATTAAAGTGGCACAACACCTTCTGGGTGTAGTTCGATTGATGTACTAAGATTTCATCTGAATGGTGCTCTATCTCGAGACCGAGACAATATCAAGTTTTTCCTAGATCATTCATCTCAAATTCCTACTTTAGGTGCACGGCAGTTTTCTCGAGCTCTTCAAGAGTTCTGATGAGGTTCATGTCGTCAACATAAACTGCAATAATCGCAAAACCAAAATGTGACTTCTTAATGAACACGTAAGGGTATAGTTTGTTGTTCACATATCCCTGACTAGTCAAATACTCACTCAGACAGTTATACCACATTCTTCTGGATTGCTTCAAACCGTAAAGTGGATGTCTCAACCGAATTGAGAACGTGTTTCGAGGTTTAGAAATATTTGATCTAGTCAACGTAAGTCCTTCGGGAACTTTCATATAAATTTTCGTATCAAGATCCGCATAAAGATATGCAGTTACTACGTCC